CAGGTGGCAGTGAGGGTGAGAGACAATCACTGCACACGGGGAACTATTTCAGGACTCGGTGGCAGCAGAAGAGGTTTCACTGGTGCTGAAGGAGGCCCAGGAAGGCAAAGTACCTGGCTCCTGTCCCAGACACTAGTGGAATAAATGAGGGGAGATGATGCGTCCCCTTGCGTCACACTGTCCTGCTTAATTTGTGTCCATGGGCATCACCTAAGCCTCAGCCCTGCAGTCTGTGAAAACTCGACCTAAACTAGCAATCCAGGCCCTTGATGACCACAGCCCTCTGCTTTCCCTTCTTTAGAGTAGACAGACTAATATTATAACTTTAAAACTTGTGTCTTCCTCAGCAGGAATGAGACCTCCAGGAGAATAAGGGCTTGGTTTTATCACGGCTCTCGTCCAGCACACAGATCAATGCTGGGCGCTAGGAGGCTCGAGGTAGACGTTTGTTGAATGAATAAATAAACAAGCTGTGAATATCCTGGATGCTAATTGGCCCCTTGTGACAATGACCTCTCCCGTCGAGGAGGGTCTCAGACACTCTGAATACACAGTGGCCATGAAAAAGGAAAAAAGTGGAGCTGACCTGTATTATTCTAGACCAAGAGCAGAGTGAATTTTCTCCGAGAAGAAGATAAGTCTTTCTTATCACCAACAGGCTAAAGATAAGCAAGCATCTGACCCGGGTAAAAAGTCATAATAGATTCCATAAAATGTTTCACTATTATTGATATGCACTGTAGGTTTGGCTTTTTAAACTTGGTATAAAAAAAAATGAGTACTATCTAGCAAATGTAATCTTTTGGAGCACATTTCTTTTATTCACTCTGTTCTCTAAAACTGTTATCATTTTCTCTTTTAAAAATGCCCTATGATTATTACTCACAGGTTCCTTAGCAGATGGTAATTACAAGAATCAATCTTTTCTCTGTGAAATCATTTTTTCTAATCTTCAGGTAATTTCCCTCCTCTGTATTAATGCATAAAAATAGCATGGCTCATACTTTTTTCTTCCCTACAACATAACTAGAGAATTCCTAATTCATGATTATATAAACCTTTTTAAATCTTTTAAAATCTCATTTTAAGTGCATTCAAAAGATGTCTGTGTGATTTTACTATGTATATATCTATACCAAAATTAGCACATACCATCTGTTAAATTTCTTACATTCAAAAGAAAAACTCTGTCTTTGAACATTTCAAAGATGGAAGGTATTTTTGAAGATAAACATGTTCCAAGTAAATTAAACATTGTCATTTAATCCATTACATTGTCCAGTATAGGAAAATAATGTATAAGATTATCTTTCCTATATATATAAATATTTTGTTCAAATAACTCTTAAAAACAAAATTGAGGCCCTGGCTGGTATAGCTCAGTGGATTGAGCACAGGCCTGTGAACGAAAAGGTCACTGGTTCAATTCCCAGTCAGGGCACTTGTCTGTCTCTTTCTCCTTTCCTTCTCCTGTGTCTAAAAATAAATATATAAAATCTTTTAAAAATCGATATAAAAGACAGAGTAAAAGACACTTTTTAAAAAGTCAGAGAAACCAACATCAAAAAGGAAGAAAACACGATTCTTAGCTTGAAAACAAAGAAAAAGATATTAATGTATGGACAGAAAAATGGTGTAACTGGAATAGTTGTCAGTGTGAAGAAACTATTGTCTAAAAGGATGAAGATGCGTAAAATCAGTGAAGGAAATCCTTTGCACTCACGTGTTAATTTATTATATGTATATGTGCATATTTGGAAGTCGCTCTGATGTATATTATTAATAGTAGAAATGCAGAACTGAGCCAGATCAGACCCATGCCTCCAGGAGATTTTTTCAGTTGGGAAGCAAAGACTGTAACTAATCTATAACAGGGAATGCTAATAAAGAACAGTGTACAATAATTTCCTTAAAGGAAATTCTGGGGGATTAGGAGGCAGAAATAACCCTCAGAAAGAAGTGCCAGGTGAGGCACCATGAAACCGCGGGCATTTGACAGATCCGTTAATGTTAACAGTTACAAAAACAGCAACAACTATTGTAACACCAACACTGATAAACTAGTCTTCCTTCCTGGCACTGTTGAGTGTTGCCTGTAATACTTTATTTATTCCTTCCAAACACCTGTGAGGATGGTACCAGCAATGCACCCACGTCACAGATGAGAAAACTGAGACCTAAAGAACACATTCCCTCCATCACACTGGAGATAGCGACTAGAAAAGCTGATATCAGAACCTGCAGGGCCATGAAAACCGTGTCACCCACGGGCTTTTCTGCAGCATTAGATTCTGTCACCTCATTGTGCAAGGTCCCCCTGGGGACAGAAGGCACAACATTATCTCATCAATCTATTTTTAAAACCACACCACCAGGAATCACGGACGGTCAAGAATGTCTTTACCTAAACCAACAAACAAAAGTGCTCTCTTTAAAGTGTTCCATGTTGTATCCTCCCCAAGTAACAAGGCCTTAAACTAAATGACATTTTCAGGGTCCTGTAAGTCTGTTCCTCCAGAGGCTGCAAGGCTCAAAAACAGCGGACGATGTGTTTGTGGAATTTTCTCTGTCGCTGGAAGCGTATCTCTCACTAAAGTTTATGCTGCTTGGTGGCCAAGCCCTTGTCCTGTTTCCCACATTAAAATTAGCACCCACAGAGCAACCAGAATGTGGTAGGTTGACTGGATGAATCATTGAATCCATAACACAAAGCGTAGAAAGTTAAGTCGTGTCTAGTTTAAGTTTACCACCTAAACTACAGAACATCCAGTGAAATTAGAATTTCAGGATAAACAACAACAAACCGTTTTTAGTATTAAGTATCTCCCAAATAGGACACACTTACACTAAAAATTATTCCCTGCTTATCTTAAATTCTAATCTCACTCAATGACCGGCGTTTTCATTTGCTAAACCTGGTAACTCTAGTGTAGTTATTGTTATACATGAAGATTTACTCATTTGTTCAATCAGTCACTTGTCAATAAGTATTTGTTATTTCTTGAAGTTATTGAATGATGTGCCGCATGGCTACCACGTGCCTGGAAAAGCCCTGTGCCTGGGGACTCGGCCCCCAATCACACGAGCAGACTGTCACTTTACAGGGCCTGCAGGTCAGTGGGGGGACAAGAGGAAAGGAGAAATGAGGAAGCGAGGCATTCCATCGACAAGCCGTTTTCATTAACGATAAGAGCCAAGAAGAAAATGGAGCGAGATGATGAGGAAAGAGAGGAATGGACCAAGGGCCACCTTGGAGAGAAAGTGGGGAAGGGTCCCACTCAGTGATGAGAGAAGCCATCCCACAAAGAGGCAGGAGAAGCACAGCCAAGGAAGAGCGAACAGCGAACACCAAGGCTCCCGGGCCAAAGTGAGTTTGCCTGTTACAGGAAAAGAGGACAGACCAGGAGATGGCATCAGGTATTCCAAAAATCTCTGCACAGGAGACATATTTGTAAATCCAGATCTGATCGGGGTTCATATCCAGAAGGTACCATGAACACATACAACTCAACCGCAAAAAGCAACCCAGTTGGAAAATGCGCAGAGAACCTGAGCGTGTTTCCAAAGAAGACACACAGATGATCAAAAGGCACATGAAAAAGATGCTCAACACCCCTCCCCGTCGGGGAACTGCAAATCAAAACCACACCCAGAGACCACCTCGCACCTGTCGGAATGGCTAGTGTCAGAGAAGAAATAAGTGTCGGTGAAGATGCGGAGCAGAGGGAACCCTTGTGTGCTCTTGGTGGAGATGCAAACTGGTGCAGCCGCTGTGGAGAAAGTATGGGGGGTTCTCAAAGCATTAAAAATAGCACTATGATAAATGATCCAGCAACCCCGTGTGTAGGTATAGACCAAAGAGAAATGAAAATACCAACTGGAAAGGAATTATACACCAGCATCTTCATGGCGGCATATTTACAATAAAGAAGATGTGAAAACAACCCAAGGGTTTATTGATAGATACAGAAATAAAGGAAATGTGGTACACACATGTAATGGAATGTTATTAAGCCCTGAAAAAGAAGGAAATTCCGCCATTTGCAGCAATGCAGATGGAACCCGAGGCATTACTGTGAGTGAAATGAGTGAGGCCGACAAAGACAAGTGGTGCGTGATGCTACTTATACGTGGAATCCGCAACAACAACGACAACTACAAACCAGACTCACACACAGAGAGAACAGATTGCTGGTTGCCTGTGATGGGTCGGGGGCAAAGTGGGTGAAGGGAGTCCAAAGTTAGCAACTTCCCATTATAAGATAAATAAATCCTGAGGATGTAATGCACAGCATGGAGACTATAGTTAATAACACTGTATTTTATATTTAAGGGAGTAGATCTTAAAAGTACTCATCGTACAGAAAAAAAGATTTATAACTGTTTAGTGATGGGTGCTAGCTAAACTTACAGTGGTAATCATTTTGCAATATATACAAATATCAATCATTAGGGTGCATGCCTGAAACTGATATAATGTTATGTGTCAATTGTATCTTGATATAAAAAAAGAGCAAAGACCACTTGGACTGCAGTGGGCAGGGGACCGGGGCCTGGTATAAACAGGGGGCATGAGGGTGGAAGAAAGTGAAGCCAGACCGTGCAGAAACTGGCACTCCACAGAGAGACGTCTTGGCCGCAATGGGAACCACTGGAGGGGCTAAGACAGGAAGTGACTCTTCTGCAATAGTGTCAGAAGGTCCCTTGGGACGACGGGCAGGAATGGGTGGCCTGGGAGGGTAAGAGCGGAGGTGGCAGACCAGACAGGAGCACTTCCAGAGCAAAGGTGGGCAAACGCATAGCAACCTGGTGACTGAGGGGGGCGAACCGGAGGTGTGTTTCGAAGGTGGAAGCAAGAGTGCTTACGAGTGATTCTAACTCTGAAACTGGCAAGAAGTGGGAGAGCAGGGGGGAAACATGCTCCTTGCCCGCCCCGCGGTGGGTGGGTCCTGTGTCGGGCGTAGGAGACTGAATCGCTCTCCCGTGTGTCTCCTCCTCAGCTGCCTATTCTGGCGTCGTCCGTGGTCAGCCTGTATTTCCTCGAGCTCACAGATGTCTTCAAGCCCGTGCACTCGGGGTTCAGCTGCTACGACCGCAGCCTCAGCATGCCCTACATCGAGCCCACGCAGGAGGCCGTCCCGTTTCTCATGTTGCTCAGCCTGGCCTTCGCCGGGCCTGCGATTACGGTAAGAACTGCCCCCCTCATTGTGCTTCCCTGTCAGGCCCTGAAAACTGGGGAGGACGGCATCGGTGTCGTAAACGGGTTAAAAGCAAACGAGGTGGACTCTGAATCTTGGCCCAGAAAGATCCTATCTTTGAGACACTTTGACAGCGTCACCTGGGATTACTTAACAGCTTAAAATTGCCGGCGTGGATAGTTAAAGATGATATGAGCGTAAAAATGATGGTTCTCTAACATTGACTTTTATAAATCATTCTGAAAAAAGTTTCTGGCTGTGTGATATTTGGTGGCTTGTAGGACGTTCATGGTCTGCTTCCTCACGAGCACAGTTCCCACGGGCTCTCGAGGTGTCTGAGTGTGGCAAACCACGAGGGAAAAAACTGGGATTACTTAACAGCTTAAAACAGCCTTTTTGATCAAAAGTGCGCGTTGCTATCTCTTAGTGTTTCATTTCTTACTAGATTAGCGCTTTGTATTGATTCGGAGCACTGCGTATCAACAACTATAAAGAGAGCATAACTTATACACACACACAGAATACTTTCAATTCACAAAAGGCACTTGCATTTTAAAAAACGTAACAAAGAAACGCCCTCCCCTACTAGAACTGAATTGAAACTATAGTTCTTTATAGTTTGCTAGGAGAAATGGCCTAAAGAACACACTTGGGGATAAATTCATTAATAAATTAGACTGGCCCACCCTTTCCACCATCTCTCGTGCCCCGTGAATCCTCAAGGACAATATACCTGTTCAAGGTCAGTGCTATTTATTTCTAATGGGAGGAACTCTATTCTGCTTTTCTCAAGCCCCTGAATGTCAGAAGTGGTTATTCATCAAAAAGCTGTATCTGAACGGTGTGTTTACAAGACTCCCTGATGAACCTGCCTGTTTGGGGTCGACATCAGCGGCTACAGAAAAGTCTGCGTGGAAACCTTCTAAAGTCCATACTTGTAGGAGCTGGGGATTTCTTTTTTAAATTCTCCCCTCTGTTAAATAATCACAACATGCTATTTGTGCTACAAATACATCACACCACGTGCTCTCAGAAGATTAAATTTGAGCTTAATTTTCCAATGAACTTTATCACGCTCACAAGATCTCAAAATACTTTGAGAATTCATGAGTGATGTGCGCTGCAGCTACTCCAGGGCGGGGGAAACCATTCCTGCTGTGTCCTCAGAAGCAGCCGAGGCTCAGAGCAACACAGCACACTCGAAGGGCCATCTCGCTGGGAGTAACAGTCCTTTCCTGCCATTTCTTTGAAGACTTATGAAAAATCCATACCATCCAGCCCTTGTGCAAGAGTCAAATGAATGTATGCTTGCAATCTGTTGCACTAGAAAGCCTTTCTCCTAGTTGGCGTGCAGTGGGCAGAATTATTGGTTTGTTTGAAACAAAATAAGATACAGCACGTGTCCACAAAGCTGCTGAACAGACCGGTTGATAGTAACCATTTAAGCAGCTGGTTGTTATGTGTCCATAACCCCTTCCTCCCCGGGGTATTGTATTAAGTGGCTAGGAAAGCAGGGCTGACTGCCTCGCTATTCATTTCACGTCGATCCCTTCGCTGACTCCTCCATGTCCTGGGACAATGACCTTGGTTGGCCTCATCACTGTGTTCCTGCCTCACTGACCCCCTCATTCCCGGTAACAAAGTCTAAACACGCAGCTCAGTGATATTTCCTGGGAAGTTTTGGGCCCGAGGTTGTTTTTTTTTTCCTGGAGCCCTAAGAAACAAAAGAAGGAGTCTGCCATGGCCCCCTTACACCAACCGGACCTGGGGGGCTGCCCCGGTCAGCTCCTGGTGCGGAGACCCCCTTGAATGCATGCCTGGGTCCCTGCAGGGCCCCTTCCTGGAACAAGAGGGACCCTCAGGAAATATTTGCCCTCAGGGTCTCTAATTTCCCCCGTGTCAGCGGAAGCGCCACTGCGACCCACACTGGCTTCACAGGTTTGGGGTAAATAACTTGAAAGCAAAACAAATTCTGACTTGTGCTGATGTTAAATCCTGCTTTCACTCCAACCGTATATCACACATCTTCTAGATTTCTCTCCGATCTCACCTTTCCCTATGTGAAGGCCTTCTCCCGACACGTGCATTTCCTCAGCACGGGCCCTGCGGTCTGCGGTCCTCCTGTTCCAGATTCACATTCTGTGTCTGATGTTACTGCACAGGTTACTGCTCCAGGTTACTGCTCCAGCCCCTCCCCCCCCCAACACACACACTTCCGGAAGGAGGAGATAATAGACTGATCCTCTTGGGAGCACTACTGCCCTGTTCCCAAATGGAGAGGGAGGGAGGTGGAAAGAGGCCAGGTGAGCCCTTCATTTGGAAATAGCGCTCAGGGCTCAGGTGGGGGAAGAGAGGCCCTCCCTGCATTGGCCTGGCCACATGGAGACCTCTCTGCAGCGATGTCCTTTAAGAGGACCTGTACAGGGGCAAAAGGAAGACCAGCTGGTTGTTTTGTGCAGGTATTTACACATCCATCATTTAGCGTTTGCTTCCCAGATTGGTTTCTGTGCTTTGGGAGATGTTTTAAAAATAGCTCGTCTCTGTGATATTGCAGGAAAAACTGTACAAATTCTTTCCATGTCTGTAAAGTGCAGGTTCCTATCTCTCTAAAATCACCCTTAAAATTTCATGCTGAATGTTCCATTTTCCATTTACTTCAGAACAGTAACGAAACGAGCATTTGGTTCAGTCCTCTGGGGATTATTCACAGGAATAATAAGGCAGCCTCTCTGGGTCGAGCAAGACTTTATGAAATCTATGTGAACAGAAAAGAAAATGTGCATTTTTTTGCCCCGGAAGTAAAATTTTATTGTATGTTATTAAAGGACAAGTATATCTAATTTTAGAGGAGAACTCGGTCAGAATTTGATTACAGTTCCTAGCTGGTAACCTTAGCATTCGGAGTTTATACAATCGAAATGTAGAATACTTACATGTGTTAGATTGTCCAAAGGCATTCGTTGCAACTTTCACACTAAAGGTACTCTGATAAATACAACACTTTTTGTTGCCTTCTTCTGGTGTATTCAGAAGAAAGACTTTGTGTGTTGTGAGACCTCCCACTGGTGGCCGCTCCCGGGGCGGGACCTGTATAAGATGAGCTGACTAGTCCCGGCTTCACCTGCCCCAAGACAGAGTCACTTTGGACTCTCTCCAAGAAACCTGTCCATGACACTGGACAAGCAAAAAGGATCGTATTGTTTCTTTGCTGCTGTGGACAGCATAGATAGAATATGGTAGAAAGGTCCTTATCATAAACGGTTTCTCCTTACCCCTGATGACGGCAACAGATTGTTGGCTCATCAAGCGCACTCCCTGAGCCCCTCCCACAGATGAGCCACATGCCATTCCAAGCGAGGAGACCATGGGCACATCTTTAAATACCCCAGGAGCACCTCCCCTCCCCCCGAGGAGATGCTGTCCTCAAACCAAATTGCAGCCTTTTGAAAATTCATGCAGCGACCTGGCGATCAGGGTTGAAAGAGTAAGAAGTGTGGGTGAGAAAAGTGATGTGCCCCCTAGAGGTGGATACTCAGGGGCAGTCAAAATACTGACCCGTAAAACCCTCAGCCTAGAGTGAAGCCAGACAGTGAGAGAACACTCTTGTCAACATAACCATCTGCAGCGTGTTGAGTGACTAAGAGAAAATTCCTGACATCCCAAGGTCATCTGAGGTAACCACTGCTGTGCTGGGTGATAACACATTTTCCCAATGACGCTGTGCAAATAAATTTCTATATAACACAGCATTCACTGATGAGGAGGAAATTAATTAGCCAATTAATTAATTAAGAAGGAGGAAACAAAGTCATTCACAGAACTGTTACTGAGGATGTAAAGAGGAACTCAGTCCCTTTCAGCCACACAGAACTGCATTTCAGAAAGGAGGAGCCAAGTTTCTTAGAACTAGCAACTCGGGAGAGCATTACACTATTCTGTGCGTGTGGTGTGTCGGGCCGAATAAAGAACCTACTGTGTTTCCACACCCAACTGAGAGTGATAGTGTAGAATATTTTTCAAGGTACATAATTAACTCGATGTTCCATAATTTGGGGGAAAAATCTTTTTGATTACTCTACAATTGATCTTAAAAGTTCATCGTGTGCGCCACATGATTTTCAACATGTACGATCATTGGTAGAGTTTCATTAAGGAAGTCATTCTTTATACAAATTAGGATTCTTTATAATTGTGCATGTACCCTACTACCTACAGACTACATACAGCAGATGGAACATGTGAAATAGAAGGTCATAGGATCCTGCCATAAGTTTCTAAAAGTCTATCATTTTAAATGCTTCGTAAGATAAATGTTAAACCAGTACTGAGAACTGGGAGGTTTTCCCTGGAAAATCTGTTTTGGCCCTGAGCATGGCTATCATCTTGAAAAGTGACGTGGCCGCGTCTGTCGAAGGGACTGCCAGCATCTCTGTCACCCTCCCTCCCTCCTTTCCACATGTCCGTACCAATCAATTCTAATTTCACAACGACCTCGCAGGCATGGTAACCCCAAATATTTTAGATTTTTTTGCATAAATAAAACCCATGCTTTCAGATCTTGCTTCTTTTACCCAGAGTGACTCACAGCCCGGACACCCAGGGCGATCGGCCAATGACAGCCCCGCAGCGATGGCAGCAGCTGCAAGTCCTGCAGTGCCAGGTGCTGTACCTCACAGTGAGGATAACCGTGGCCTCAGAGGGTCATGGTGAGTGAGAGAAAATGAGGTAGAGAAGTGGCCTGCATTCTGATCAGCCATGCTAGAGGGAAGGACCAGTGCCCAGGGAGCCTCGAACAAGGGGACATAATTTAATTTCGGCCTAACTGCACTGAGTTCCCTCCCTGGTGCCCTGTGCCATAGAATCCTCCAGCAAGTGCACGGTCCCTCATCTTAGGAGAGTCTCTCCAACACCGCAGTCTGGATCTCCGTCCACTGCAAACACATTTTCTCCGTAGCTGATGCCAGGAAAACACTAGCCGGTACGAACAGGTAACTCCTCAGAAATGACCTCAGCCATGTCGGTGATTCCGTTTTGATCGCCCGGAACTGTCTCACCCCCCTAGTTCCTGCGCACCCTGACTCTCTCATAAGACTCTCTCAGTAAGATGGTTACTAGCCACATGTAGGGCTACTTCACTTTAAATCTAGATTGATATCCATTTTAAAATTGAGCACCATGAAAGGAGATAGACATTTAGCTTCTTAACCGAAGCAGCTGAATTTCAAGTACCCAGTGGGCACCCGTGGGTTGTGGCTCCCACACAGGAGGCAGATGGGGGCAGAGAGGCAGAGGGCCAGACGCTGGCAGCTGCCACCCTGTGAAAACCCCCGATGCCATCATGCCCTTGACCAAGGGGTAGACCCTCCCAAGAGCCCAACCCATCCCCTTTCTGGTGTCCTGTCTGCTTAGGAAAAATGGATTGCCTCTCTAACGCTGTGAAGGAAATACATCTTCACTTGTCGACTTGGCGGTGTGTTAAGAAATAACCTATAACTCATTTGAACCCACTGAGCCCATTGTGACCCCTCTTGTCTTTGCAGATCATGGTAGGGGAAGGCATCCTCTACTGTTGCCTCTCCAAACGAAGAAACGGGGTGGGACTGGAGCCCCACATTAACGCCGGAGGCTGCAACTTCAACTCCTTCCTTCGAAGAGCCGTCAGATTCGTGGGTGGGTCTGGGAACCGCAAAGAAAGGGGCTGTGTTTTTCAAACAGAAATGTTCTGTTTAATTACAGAGATTAAGTCTTCAAAGCTATAATTTAGATGTGTGGTTTCAGGTACATGATGAGTTTTACATTATACTAAAAATAAAAGAGAGAAGAAGAAGAGGAAGAAGAAGAGAAATCTGGGTGTTTCTACACCCAGATTGGGGCACTGTATCTGCACTGTTATTTGCGGTAATAGTCCTTGTTTTGAGAGCTAACACACCATGCATTTCAGTAGCTCTAGTTGGAAGCATAAATCCACTTTAAAATGGTTTCATTGGATCGATGTTCACTTTTTAAAGTGGAGAATAAATGTCAGCAGGCCAGTAGGAATGGATAACTCTTCAGAAATGATTTAGTCACATCCGTGGTTCCATTTCAATTGTCCCGGAATGTTCCCGTCCGGAAATTACGGCCCATAAAATGTCACTAGATAGCACTACATTCTGGTCATTTCTCCTGGGCTCTCTCCTCTCAGTTTACCTCCCACACTTTATGGAGCTGCAGGAAATCATAGGCCTGCTAACCAGCATCTGAATCAACCAGTATCTGAACCTTCACCTCTTCTGGTCGGCATGGAGACGTCTTAATGTTCTTGGAGCCACAGGCCTGTTTTGTTCAGTGAGTTCAGAAGGCCAGGGCATCCCACCAACCTGAGTGTTTTCCGTTCACTCCCAACAAGTCAGTAAAAAGGAACCCCAGCTGTCATCTCCAAGAAATGGGTAGTTTCACCCAGTACCCAGTGGGTAGTTAAACATAACCATCTCTCCCGCCAGAGGAAAAGTCTGGTCTAAATCACGGCCTAGACTCTGCTCTCTCAGCACGGCACAGCGGGATGGTAAGATGAGAATTGGCCCCTTGGCAGGGTCATGAACGGAGGCAAGGAAATAAATCTTCAGGACATAGAGCTGACCTCAGAGACAGTTGCCCCCAATGGAACCAAATGCCATGGGAAGGGGCATGCACGCTCCCTGAACAGCCTCTGACCGGAAGGACGGTCCACCTCCCCCTGGGAGCAGGTCCCAGAGCCAGTGAGCCCAGCCTCCATGGGTCTGGAGGGTGTCACCCTCCAAAGGTAAAAATGGTGCATCTCCCACTTTTCCACACTCCTCTCTAAGACCTCGCATGCAGACAGGGACTGGGATGTAGAAACAAAAGTCCTGTGTCCAGAACACCAGGTGAGTGTGTGGAAAAGGACTGGGCAGAGTGGTTGCTAGGCGACAGAAAGCAGAGAAGGAAAATTCAAAGCGTGGCCACGTGCAGGTGGGCAACATGGGGCCGGGCGAGTCCCCCAGTGAACCACCGTGGTCCCTCTCCGATCCTGAGAGCCCGGGCTGGTGAGTCAGTGCAAACCCAGGATGCTGAGACCCAATGAGACGTGCAGAGGAAGCAGGGGGGTTCAGATCGTACCTGTGTGCACAGAGCCAGACTCCCACGGTGAAACCAGGGAAGGGACTAGAAGCGGGCGTGGTGTCGAGAATGTGAGTGTGCATCGGGGTTTGTGAGATGTGCTTTGAGTCTGGCCCTAGGAGACGAAAGAAAGGTAGAATCCAGACGGGAAGATACAAGAACATTATCTCTGAATTCCAAACGTGCGGGAAGACTCCCCCGGCCCCACGCCCAGGATGTCATCACTGTGTCCACGACAGGCACCTCCTGCCTTCTTCTCTGCTTCAATCAGCATTCCTGGTGTGACCACAGCTTGCAGGGAGTTAGAACCGATTCTGTGGGGTCTGGCGACTGTGATTAGAATTTGGAGCTGCTGGGGAGACAGAGCCCTGGCCGCTCCAACAGGCTGAGCATTATAAAATTGTCGCTAACTTTGCTACCACGTTTAATCCAACTGGTCACCTTAACAGGTCCCAGGTGTTTGACAAGTGCCTTGTGGTTACTAATTTTGCAAACTGGCCTCATTTAACCAAACTGACCGAAATACCTGAAACTACCACTTTGAAGACACTTGTGGCCATGATATTGACCCTAGGTATCTGTTTAGAAGTTTGGGGATTTTCTCTGTCGTCTTCTGGAGGTAAACTCAGAGAAGAGGATCGCAGCAGGCTGGGGGGGCCGTCCTGCCACCATGTGGTGAGCAGGGTGGGTGGTGGCCCAGTGTCCGCCGTGGGCCCTGGTGTGGTAACAGCTCCCCCCCCACCTTGCTTGCAGGTGTGCACGTGTTTGGACTCTGCTCCACCGCCCTCATCACGGACATCATCCAGCTGTGCACTGGGTACCAGGCGCCGTACTTCCTGACGGTGTGCAAGCCCAACTACACCTCCCTGAACGTGTCCTGCAAAGAAAACTCCTACATCGTGGAAGACATCTGCTCAGGATCCGACCTCACAGTGATCAACAGCAGCAGGTTGGACACCGAGGTTTCAGAACGCTCGATGTCCGTGTTTGCATTGTTCATGGATGGCGGAGGTGTCCCCTTAGGCAGAGATGTCTTTTGGTCATAATGATTTTGGTTTTTTGTTTCTTCTCAATGCCGTGATCTCTCTAGGAATTACACCACTGGTGGCTCATTCCAAATCTTCCTCTCCGTCTCCAAATTTCAGCCTCACATTCTGCCTCTAATCTTCCTACCACCAAACCTGACTCGTATTTTGCAATCCACCCCATACTCCTTATGGTTTTAGGTTACCACCGTTGGTTTGTTTTAGGATATTCATAGTCAGCCATGGCTTCCAGTCAGTGGGTACCCCTCTACTGACTGAAGTGGAAGACTTACTATCTGTGATATTCACCTCTCCATTATACGTTTCAGTTTTTTAAATCCTGTGTGTGAATAAGCCCTAAGATCTGTAGAGCTTCTACCCTTGCAGTTCAAAGAATAGGAGACCAAAAAACTCAAGAAACTGCCAACGCATGAAATTACTTTTGATCAATAAACGATAAATTTGTATGGCAAGAGGTATCTTAAAAGTTCAAGATAGATTATAGGAAGGTGAAGGGCAGTACGTGGTTGTTCTAAGAGTTTACTTGTCATTCAATGACTTTCCAGAGATCAATTTGAGAGTCAAAAATAAGTTAGTAAGTACACTTAAAGAAAATCAGAGCCTGATACTATGTAACTATACACATTCAAGCTCTCGTGGTCCATTCAATAACCTTTAACCTACAGTTATGACCTCTGTCCTCTATTCTTTCTCAATCCTTTTACGTTATCTTGTCTTTATTAAATAGTAACGCTTTTTATTGGATACCAAATAGTCAGGAGGACATCATTATAACTGAATTTTATTTTTCCATTTTTTTATCCATTAAAAAAATCTCCATTCTCCTTTGGTCTGCCTTTTCCAGTGTCTCCCTATCCTGAGTTCCTCTCTCTCCCTGCTTCTTAAATTATTTAACTGAACGAGAAGCTCTGAGATCTTCGAGATCACATTTTACAGGGGCATACGCAGAGAAACACTTTGTTAAAATTAGATTTTTCTTATGCTCGATAGAGTGCGAAAGACACATTCAGACCTATTGCTGTGAGAAAATGATTTTGCCTTAAAATTTTATGTAGATGAAGCCATCTATTTAGGAGCATAGAAAAAAATGGAAAGCTCTAAAATCCTGGGTTTTGTGAAATTTTACTTTAAACTGGCGTAATTCCTGCACCAAAGAACAATCCGAGTGTCTTCCGGCCTGTCCGTCCTTCAGCCATCACTCCATGGCTGTCTCGAAGGGGTGCCTTACAAGGTTGGCATTTGCTATTGCAAAGCCCATCGCTGCTAGGCTCTAACACGAATGGTGGTTAGCTTGCTTATTTTACCCCTCAGCGAATTCTCCAGAAAAGAAACCAGAAGCTAGTTACTGCCCATTGCCTTGTGGCATTTCTGCGGAAGACTTTGGGCACGCCGTTGCCCCTGATTGTCAGCAATGTGTCTGAAACAGAGTCCTAATGTGACTGTCTTCCTTTGGCAGAAAATCATTCCCTTCTCAGCACGCCACCCTCGCTGCCTTTGCTGCTGTGTACGTCTCGGTGAGTAGCTGGGTCTTTCTCATCAGTCTGTGTTCTAGAGGAAGTCGGGGATGAGTCTTGTCTCCGACCAATTCCATCATATAACCGGGTAATGACAGAGCAGTGAACTTGAGCACAGTGGCCCTTCAATACCAGGCATCAGAAGAAGGGAGCAGATGCTACCATACACACTGTAACAGTAAAATAATTTTTCTACACAGTCATGCACTCATTTAGTCTGGTAACCCCTTCATGTAATAGTATACTTCACGAGAGGGTATTGTGAACCACGCAAATGGTATAAATTCTGAAACCAGCAGAATTGTGTTAGGTACACACATTCGTAAACGCACAAGCTTTACTTTCAGTGACTCAGTAACTGTGAGTCCTAAGTCAGCGTCGATTTGATAAATTCCGTACAATGAACTGTCATCATGCCCGATCAATGCAACCATTCATGAGGTCTCAGGTGAGAGAAATGAGCTGAAATTATGACAAAGAGCACAGGGACTGAGCAGTTGTCTGCCTAATCGTTCTGCGTCCGTTTTTTCAAACTTTCATGGAATTAAATGAGGTTATTTATTTGATGAGCTCTGTCTTGCATTTCCTTTTTCTTGAGCAGAGAATGTAGAACTAGCCAGGGGAATGGAACAGTAAACTTGTCATAGAGTTGGGTCAGTGAGACAGCTGAGTTCAACTTTTTATTTGATGATGACTTAATAGTAAGGTGAGCTTTCTAACGGACTCCACCTGTCTCTTTCCGTCTGTAAGATGTACTTCAACTCCACGCTAACGGACTCCTCCAAGCTCCTGAAACCCCTCCTGGTCTTCACGTTCATCATCTGCGGCATTATCTGCGGGCTGACCCGGATCACGCAGTACAAGAACCACCCTGTGGACGTCTACTGCGGCTTTCTGATCGGAGGCGGGATCGCTCTGTACTTGGTAACTGAGTTACTGTCACTAGTCGATGGACCACAGTGTAAAGTGGAAAACACACACAGGATATTCTGCACCGTAACCATTCACTTAAAATGTAATCTGTATTTGCGAGAAAATCTCTGGCTGCCTCTTCGTCCTAAGCCAAAGCACATATCCCACTTTCGGTAAAAATAACTTAGTAAACTCTTACCATAAGCTAGAAACTGTGATTTTAGAAGGATTATTGCATTTTATCCTCAACCACACACGGCCCAAAAGAGCCAGGGACGAGTGCAATTTTACAGATGAGGAAAGTGGATGTCAGTGGAAGTAAAGGTAGGGAAAGCGAAGCTTTCGTGGAAGAGCGTATAACCTGCCCAGCAACACGAATAGGCACCTGAATACAGCAGACCCAGCCAATGTGGGTTCTCAGGCCTGGTCTCTGCTGTCCATTCCATTCGTTCCTTTTACATTTGCACACTATCCTGTCTGTACCAGGTACGACACTGAAAATCAGAAAGGTGAGAAATAAGACAGATCCTCAAGGCGTTTACGGCGCAAAGACCAATAAAACTACCGGGGCGGGCAAAAGTAGGTTTACAGTTGTGAGTCTGTGAGACAGAGTTTATTTATTCTTGTATTATTAGGTATTCATTATTATATTATTTCCCATGCAAACAACTGGAAATTACTTTTGCCCCACCCTCTGCATTTGCTTGCAGTCTGGTGGAGGAGTTTCCTAAACTGACAAATGTAAATACGGTTGTGAAGGGGACGTCGAGGGGGAACTGCTTATCCTGGGAACTAAGAGTGTAGATGGACATTATTTAGAAGATTTGAACCAGACAGCAAAGTAGCTGGAGAGGCAGAGGCTTGACTCCGCCCCATTCCCATCTGCACCCTGTGCCCTGAAATTGGAAATGTGTCTGTCCTGAGCTGATGCCGTTGGGAATTGTTGGGCTCTAAACGCGTTAAACCCAGGGGACTCTTCTGGTGTGACTGGGAAAGGACACAGGGGCTGCCACCTACTGAACTGGCACGCAGATGGGACGCCACGCTTGTTCTCCTCTCTCAGCGTGGCACCTGGAACACTGACGGCCCAGCAGGGGTCGGATCCTCCACGTGGAAAGGGTGGAGATTCCGAATCTGAATTTCAGCCTTTCCCAGACTTTGAGCCCCCAGATCAAAAACAAGAAACCTGAATGTGAAGACGAGATTAAATAAAATGTGGCTCCGAGGTCACGTGATAGCACTAAATTGATCAGATGTTCTTTCCCCACCTCAGAGCCAGTGTAAATCGGGGAAGAACGTGCCCCCCCCCCTTCTAGCATAGCCTCCGCCCTGGCTTCCGAGGACGCTCTGTCCGAAGCTGAACGCGTGGAGCTGTGCTTGGTGGGAGGTGCAACAACACGTTTCTGACCTGTTGCAAAACCTGGCATCGTGTTTCGTGCATGGCGTGTTGTTCTGTATTGCCCACAGGTCTTCCGCCATCCACCCTGAGGGACGATTGAAAATTTGAGGTGTCGCTCAAGAAGAGAGCCCCAAACCCAGAAAGCGGACCTGCTCTGAAAAGCAGAAGGATGTTTCCATATCTCTCATTGTCCAACTTTTCTTTGAAAACGTTCAGGGGATTAAATGTACAAAAAGCATCCCGTGGGATGGAGAAAGGAGAAAAAAATCCAGCTAATAATAAAAAATCGCGGGCTCCGAATTCCCCAACGGTCAGGACGGTGACTTGTGATGTAACTTACAAACTATCTCCCCAGTCCTGGAGGTTCTCCGGGTTTTGTTATGTGGTTTAGTGAGCTCTCACCTTATTAATGGGGGGCGCGGTGCAGGGTCCTGGGGGTGAGGCCAGGGCGAGCGCGGTACTCATGGTCTGTCTTCCGCACCAGGGCCTGTACGCAGTGGGGAATTTCCTGCCCAGCGAGGAGAGCCTGTTCCAGCACAGAGAGGCCCTCCGGTCCCTGTCCGACCTCAACCAGGACCCCAGCCGGGTGCTGGCTGCCAAAAACAGCAGCAGCAGCGACGGCATCGCTCACACCGAAGGCATCCTCGCCCGAAACCCCCGGGACGCCAGCTCGCTGACCAACCTCAAGAGGGCGAACGCCGACGTGGAGATCATCACCCCGCGCAGCCCCATGGGCAAGGAGAACATGGTCACTTTCAGCAACACGCTGCCCCGAGCCAGCACGCCCTCGGTGGAGGACCCCGTCCGCAGAAACGCCAGCATCCACGCCTCCATGGACTCCGCCCGCTCCAAGCAGCTGCTCACCCAGTGGAAGAGCAAGAACGAAAGCCGCAAGCTGTCCCTGCAAGTCATAGAGACGGAGCCTGGGCAGTCGCCGCCCAGATCCATAGAAATGAGGTCCAGCTCCGAGCCCTCCAGGGTGGGGGTCAACGGAGAGCCCCATGGCCCCGGTGGTCAGTACCTCAAGCTGCAGCCTGGCACTGTTCCCAGCTGCAACAACAGCATGCCGGGGGGGCCCAGGGTGTCCATCCAGCCCCGGCCTGGGTCCTCGCAGCTAGTGCACATCCCCGAGGAGACCCAGGAGACCGTGGGCGCCTCGCCCAAAAGCAGCTCCGCCCGCGCCAAGTGGCTGAAAGCGGCGGAGAAGACGGTGGCCTGCAACCGGAGCAACAGCCAGCCGCGCATCATGCAAGTCATCGCCATGTCCAAGCAGCAGGGCGTGCTTCAGAGCAGCCCCAAGAACACGGAGGGCAGCACCGTCTCCTGCACCGGCTCCATCCGCTACAAGACCCTGAGCGACCACGAGCCCGGCGGCATCGTCCGCGTGGAGGCTCATCCGGAGAACAGCCGGCCCGTCATCCAGATCCCGTCCACCGAGGGCGAGGGCAGCGGCTCCTGGAAGTGGAAGGCGCCCGAGAAGGGCAGCCTCCGCCAGACCTACGAGCTCAACGACCTCAACCGGGACTCGGAGAGCTGCGAGCCCCTGAAAGACGGCTTTGGCTCTGGAGACCGCAAGAGAAGCAACATCGACGGCAGCGAGCACCACCACCACCACGGCATCGCCACCATCCGCGTCACCCCGGTGGAGGGCAGCGAGATGGGCTCCGAGACGCTGTCCGTGTCTTCCTCGCGCGACTCCACGCTTCGCAGGAAAGGCAACATCATCCTGATTCCCGAGCGAAGCAGCAGCCCCGAAAACACTAGGAATATCTTCTATAAGGGGACCTCCCCGACTCGGGCTTATAAGGATTGAACGGTGTCTGTTCAACCATTTGGGTGCGCGCCCTCCCCCAAAAGACCAGGGGTTGATTCTCCCTGTGTCTTTTTCCAACAAACTGGGGGGGAACCTCTTATCCAACCAGATCACCCACCCATTAGCCCAGGACTCAATGACTCCTGCGAATTGTGACCATCAAGCTTGTACATTTCACACCAAGGGGAGGGAAAAGCACAATGCAAGAACCCAACTAATATGACACCCGGGAAGTCTCCTCTTAAGACCTGTCCTCAAACTCAAAAGGTTGGCCGAGGGCGGTCTCGAAAGACAGTGGTTTCCTTCCATGTATACTCCTTTGCTTCCTGAATGTGCCAATGTGAGGGATGTTTCTTTCTAATTAGCCGCGGGGATCCAGAACAGGGGCCCCCCCGGCAGAGGCCATGCGGTTTTATATCTCCATTCTGCAGAATCGTGTGTGCCTGGCACTCCATGTGGGTGGTGCTGGTCAGCACAGTTCATCCCCCATGTAAACTCTCCGGTTCTATCTCGCTGTGAACTAGTGGTGTGTGCAATCCCTTGTCAGAGAAATGCTACCGTGTTCAGACGACTCTGGCTGCTTTTTGGCAGAATAGGGCCCCCTGCGGCTTCTTCATAGTGGCTCTGTTGTGGCCCAAACTTGAAAAGGTTTTGTGTGGGGGTTTGGGATATTTTTTTTTCAAAAACAATTCTTTCTTCCACAACAAAAATTGCGTAGGAATCTTTTCAGTCCAAGGGAACAAGCTGGTGCTTTTCTGCAGTTCTTGTTTTCTGCTTACTTTTTATTTACGCATAAGCACTGCTCATCAAGAATCTGGTTTTTAGTGGGTCTGCGTAACTTAAAAACTAGGTTGTTTTAAGAGAATCTTTTGAAACGGTTGCGATTACCTTTTGTATTTTATGGCTTCTACTTTATTTATGGAATTTTAAATTTGTTTGATGTTACAGATATGTTCTTCTATTTTTTAAGTGAAAATAGTAGTCAATATTCCTCGAGCAAAATATATTGCTGTGAATCTATAAACAAGAAATGTGAACCAAAACTTGACCATCGTGGGTTACATCACCAGCTTGCTTAGTTGCTCTCTTCACAAGTGATCCAAAAGGTTCATTTAGTTCCACATCATTAACTTTTTTTTGACATGCCAATAACTGGTAAATTAGAGCCACTGCAAGTGGGTTTCACCTTCCTCCCTATTTTTGTTCATTGGACACCAACAGGTAGAATCTGAAAAGTATGCAAATTAATTATAAAAGTATCTCACAGAATAAACAAAGAATGTATTTCTTCAAAATATCTAACTAGGCACCGTTTTAGTGCTTCGTGTGCAAATGACAGTTTTTTGCTGTCTGTCCCGAGTGAAGCTTTGAGCCTAGATCAAAGGAAACAATATTTTCAAAAAGAAGATGAAAACGAAACATTTTGAGGTGTTTCCAATGTAAAAATTTAGTTTAAGTATAAAGAAGTATTTGGTTCTTGGAATTTAACACGAGACCTCTCCTACACCATTTCTTAAGACTTCTTATCTGTACTTGAGGGTGGCCAAAGGACCCAAGGTCACGATGCAGCTGGTTGACCCGGGTCTCGGTGTGCTTTTCAGAGGGAACAGAAAGCGCCATTTAGAGATGAGGGCACCCCATCATTATCACTCCCGCAGGTGAAGGGGCTTTCTAGAGCAACCCACCTCCTCATGAGGGATTCGGGTTTCAGCTGAAACCAGCAGAATTGAAAACTGGCAATAAAACACAGATTCACCCACATTCCTTGTGGCAGTTTCCTTCTCAGAGAGGGGGTGGGACCGAAATGCCGCCTTCACCAGCTCCCACGCCGCCACCATTCTGCCACGCCACCGAGGCGCTGGCCGCCCCCAGAGAAAGGTGGGCTGGTTTTAGTTCTCCGAAGAAAAACAATACAGCTGCAACATTACAGGTGCAGTGTGATATTTCCTAGTCTTTCCTATTTCTTAACAAGAGATTTTAAAGTACTTCTCTATCATTGACTTTCTTTTTCTTTACATAAATATTGATATATTCTTTTTCTACTCAAAAGTGCCAAAGGTTATGGTTTTTAAAGACTTCAATTGTACCACATTGTTAAGGAAATAAAAAACGATAGTGGCTAGAACTCAGACCTCTGCATGTGTATTTGATAACACATCTTTTGTAAAAAAAAAAGTAATGATGAAAAATTTGTTTACATTCCACTGGTACCTTAATTTAAACTTCAGTGAGACTAATGGGTGGTATCTCTTCTTAGGGTTCTATTGACCTTATTTGCTGACGAGGGCACTTTTCCCTGTGTTAGGCTGTGCTTTACTGAGAAAACCAAGTATTGAATAGAGAGAGTTAATTATCTTTTTAAAGTACATAAAATGATGAAAGTATATATAATATATATAAAGTATCATGTTTAATAAAATGTTACGCAATGTTTTCCAAACTGATAAAGTTTGTACAGTGCTATAATGTATTTTGTTAAGTACAGATCACAATCTTGTGTGAGCATATTGTGCTAACATCATAGAAATAAAGATTAGATTTCTTCACCAAAGTTGGAACATTTTGGGTTTTTTTTTTAAACTTCATAGTATGTATGAGTGGATAATAATTTGGCTTAGAGGAAAACAGGTGAAGAAATAAGAATGAACCAGAACCAATTATAGAAGAAACCAATAGTTTAGAAGAAAGATTTTTGTGCTCGGAAAAAAAGTTTGTCACACCAGGATGTAATATTTCATTATTCAGAATTTTTATTACATGCAGATTAAAGTTCTTTTAGGTTTATTCAGACATAAATTATTGACATAGCAACACTGTAGAGTATAAGAAATGAAAATATGGGTGCATCGTGGTTCATTTTCCTGAGTCAATATTTTACTAAGAGTAGTTGATGTTTGAATCTTCCCAAACATTGTCACCCTCTGTGCTGGGCTTTCCTCAAAAGAACGCGCCACAGTCAACCCCAGGGCCACTTCCCAACACAGGGACCCCTGTCGTGTGAGGGCTGATGCCGATGCTTCATGCAGCTCCCTCAAAGGTGCCAATGCACGTCTTTAGACCACAGCCAGGACTTGACGTGTGACTCAGAAGATCTTTAAGTGGTTTGCTGACTGGAACATGAAATCACGGTTTGAGCAGTAAAGCCGCCGAGTTCATAAGATCACCCAACAGCGGCCAAGTTCACGATCCCAGGCAACTGCATCATGACAGCCACCTGGCCAGAACCACTATAAGATGCCATGAACTGAGCAAAATATACAGGTTTTAGGGACATTCGCAAGTGAGAAAGCCGTGTGTATCTGATAGTGGCTGAAATACAATGTTCAGCCTCTCTGGGTCTTGAATTTCTGTCTCTAAAATGGGGCCAGTCAGCTATATTATCCTTTCTAAAGGGCGTCCTCCAGTCTTTTCCAAATGTCTGTGGGTTACTATCACGTCTTTCATGCAGAGAATGAAATTGATGTCGAGTGAGCTGTGATTCCTGGTGTCCCCGTGAACAAGCAGTGTCCACAATGTCCTGTCCTCCTCCCCGCTCAGACTCGCCCTGTGGCTTCCTTTTTGAGGTCAATCCGTCTTATAGTTGGTCTTTTTCTTTCCCAGCTGCTTTCTGGTTTTCCCAACAAAAACTCACAGGTCTAAAATGAGTCTTGTCATCTTTGACCACAGAGATAATGTGAGCAAGGCAATGGGGTTGCTCAAAACCTGCATCGGCCATGTCGCCACAGGTTCTATCCAAACAGGTGACTGTACCCAAGCACCCTGGCCCCAGTGCCTTTGTTGTGCTGTGTCAGGTGAGTGGACTCTGGATACAAACACAAGGGTCTATCATTGGGGGCTGTGTTATTTTTTTTACAAGTCAAGTTCTTTACTCAATATATGTGGGTCACTTCATATTATAGTTCAAAGGGGATATGCAAATCTATGCATGGTTCAGAGAGTAATTTAATTCAAACACTATAATTGAAGCACATCAAAAGAAAAGAAATGGTTTGATCTGCAGGGAATGTGTGGCCTGGAAATCAGGTTGTGGTTTGTTTGTGATGGGATATTTTGTTTCCTCTGCTCATTCAATGTGTGCCCTGACTTGATTCCGCAGAAATCATCTAAAATGCGCTCGATCCCATGCTCCAGTTTGAAGAACATGTAGACATTTGTAATAGTAGAAGTTATTCCAGGTGAGACCCAACTGGAGGAAATCCCTAGTGATCATGCTTGTTAATTATGAAAAAATATCTAGATGAGCCCTCTGATGTTGAAATGGCTCGGTAGCTTAGTGGGTGAGAGCGTCATCCCAATACACCAAGGTTGAGGGTTCAATCCCTGGGCAGGGCACATGCAAGAATCAACCAATGAACGCATCAATAAGTGGGAACAGCACAGCTTTCTCTCTCTCTCTCTCTCTGTGTCTCCAGGCCCCCACTTTTCCTTCCTCTCTAAAATCAATAAGCCAATTTAAAATATTTTGTAAAAAGAAGTGAGTTTGATTTCTGTCCATACAATTGTAAGTTGATGAAAGCCCCTAATTGTGTGCGTTTGTGCAGTGCAAGGAGAGGAGAGAACTAAGCAAAATGATAGTTCTGCCACCAGTTCTACCTGCCAAACCCGCCAAGAGCCCACTCTGTCTCCCTGCCCCCCCTTCCTTCAAACTTCAGTCATTGCCCACCAGAAAAATCCACCTAGATTCTGATGTGAGCTTTCAAAATAGTCCAGCCAACAAGCAGACTAGTGAGTTTGAAGCAAAAACTATGGCAGTTGTGCGTATATAGCATCTCCCTGTCTCAGGGTCACCTCAGAACACTTTGTCCCCTGGAGACATCTTCCATCCCAGACACTCGTCACCCCAGTGTTATAATTCGTATCTTCTAGACTTCAGCGTCCTCTGAGAAAAAAATGTCATCTTTGAGTGTCAGGAAAACCAAATTCACTCCATCCCCAGCTCAACCTTTCTCATTCTGCATCTAAATTATTTAATGAAAGATATTTTTACAGATATTTCTGAAGGTATAAAAAGCAGTATTTTCAAAAAATAAAGTCAAAATGAGTCAAGGACTTAAATGTAAAGTGTAAAACTGCAATTTTTAGTAAAAAAAAACAGAAGAGAAAATCTGTGGGGCATAGAACAGGGACTAGTTATGAGTCCTTGACTGAATCTGTGGTTTTTAATTTTTTTCCTATTTGTAGTTTATCCTTTCATCCTAGTAACAGGGTCTTGCAAAGAGCAAATTTTAAAAATTTTGATGAGGACCAATTTATCTTTTCCCTTTACAGGCCACATTTTTAAAGTTAGATTTAAAATATATTTTAAAATCCTCAAAACTCAACAGTAAAAAAAACACACAGTAAACAGTAAAGACTGAAATAGTAGGACAAAAAAATGGACAACAATAGGAACAGATATTTTATCAAAATAGGCAAACAGTACAAAGGCCCATGGATAGCGACATCGTTAGCTATTTCGGAAATACAAATAAAAAGCACAAGGAGATCTTACTGTACACCTACAAGAATGACTAAAATAAAAAAAGACTGATCCTACCAAATGCTAGCAAGAATGTGAAGAAACTGGACCACTCATACACTGCTGGTAAGAACAGAAAATGCTATAACCACCCGGAAAAACAGGCTGGCAATTTCTTATTTAGAAAAGAAAAGTAAACATACTCATATCTTTGACCCAGGAATTGCAGCCTTGGACACTTATCCCACAGAAATGAAAACTTATGTCTACACAAGAAGTGGTATCTATGGAGTCATCTCAGTTTTATTAATAATGGGCAAAAACTGGGAACAATCGTAGTGTCCCTCGTCGGGGGGGACGCAGGAGGGGGATGGCTGAGCAAACTCTTCCCCAACCGGGCAGTGATACTACTCTGCCCCCAAAGTGGACATAAGCCATTGATACATACGCACAACCGCAGTAGCTCGCCAGGGGCTGGTGCTGAGTGAAAAGGCCACCAAGGAAAAGGGGACACACTCTGTGATTCCATTTCACATCACAGCACAGCCAGAAGCAGCCCATGGCCAGGGCAGTGGCATGACCACGTTTAACTCACATTTTTCTAGTTGTCACCGTTTCCCAGCAGGAGTAGGGGTGGGAGGGAGGAAGCTGAGGATGAAGCAGCTTTATCTTCAATGCACTCGACTGGCCCAAACCACAGGGTGTGGCAGAAGTAAGGCCTGCTTGAGCGTGACTGGTCCCATTATAATATGGGTGTAATGATTTATAGTTGCAATTTGAACATTTCACCTAAAATGTCAGATGGTGTGCTTGAGTGTGATATTGGTAGGTTATAGGACTACGTGCTTTTGTAATGCACAGGGGGCATTATTGGTGCTGGACCCTGTAGACAGCCTGGTTGCAGAGAAGCTAGGATGTCACCTCAGCTGAGGGGGCCCAGCCTGGCTGAGATGTGGCATCTTCTCCAACTGGGTGGAGAGGTGGGGATGGCCCCCCAGGGCCGCCAACCAGTGTCTTTCATGCCAGCCTCAAGGCCTTCACCATGCGACCCCCAGACCCTGACATCCCACGACCTCCCCATCCAAACCGGCTGCTGCAGCTATGCTTCTTCATGTGTCTGTGTGCGTGGTTTACTTTTAACTCTCTTTCTGGAAAGTCTTCACACCCCGTTCTCAATCCCCATTGTCTCTCAAGGCTAAATCTCCATCTATCACTACACGGCTCCAGAGTTGGAAGGCTTCAAGATACCGCACATCCGTTCAGGAATAATCACTGCAGTTACTTATGTTTCACACACGAGACGTGGTTCACGCAGAGTCACACAGTTGGTGGGTGTCAGGAGGGCACAGGTGGCCTTAAAGAACTGCCCTCGGTTCATTTTTAAACCCCTAACACTGAGCACATCACCCACCACAGCGGTTGGAAATTCAATATACATTCGGAATGAGCGAATGAATGAATAATATTCTGACACCAAATGGCTACGCTTTTCATAAAAGGCTAATGTCACTCTCCCTTTTGAGAATATTTATAGATCTTTGTTCTGTAGGACCAAAGTATTCACTTAATCATAAAGTCTGGACTCTGTAGCCACTTGATTAACAAGGCGTTGAATATTTAACCCACACCAAATGGCAAGTTCTATATAAACAGCTCCTAGCCTAGTAGGTGCTCAATAAATATAAGAATTGAATGAATACAGAGTGTTCTATCTCCTATGAGTGAAAAATTATGAAAACAAATAAATAGCAGAGTTTATTGCACAATGGAAAGTATAAAGGATTTGGAAGAGAAGGGAATGGCTGTCTATTTGATTGCACCCTGAAGCTCCCCGGTTCTCAGAAATCCCCTCCAAGACTCTGAAGCCAAATCTATGTTATTTGTATTTTTTCCCCTTTTCTTTATTTGAAGTATCTTTTTAAAATGTTGACATGGTGCACGCCAGATTTTTGGGAACAAGCTGTCTCTTCACAACAGTTGTTTGTTCCA